GCTCCACAATCAGAAGTTGGTGAAGCCAGCTAGCCTTGTTCCTTCCTTCCAGGTGCCAAGTTTCCCCCAGTCCTGGGAAGGTCTAGAGCTGTAGTCCAGGAGCCTGGACTACATAGCCAAGTCACAAAACAAAGTCCTTCCCATTCTCTCCTTTTTTTCAATCAGAGAAGCCTCTGTGGCCTCCACTGTCCCAGGCTCAAGACAAGTTTTTCCTGGCTACTGCCAATGTTCACTCAAGGCCCTAGTGCTCTTCAGTCAACTTTTGTTGAATGCTACGAAGTCTGGAACTCTCCCTTTAGGGCAGGGAGCCCCCCGCTGTCTCAGGTCATGTCCAGAAATGTCATACAGGAGCCAAGACTTGAAACTGAGGACTCCAGGAGCTGCTTAGAGCTCTTCTGCATCTGGCTAAGCTGGTACCTAAAGTGCAAGACAAAGTCCCATTTACTTTTCCCTCTCCTTTTCTAAAACATAAGGAGTCATAAAATTAAAAAAAAAGAAAGAAAAGAAAGATCATTACAGCTCAGAATGTGCTGTTTCACCTGAAACCAGCACACCTTAAGTCTCAACCAAGGCCCATGCAAGTACTGCCTATTACTACTGATGATTCAGGGTCCAAGGGCTTGTTTGTCAACAGGTAGTGAATTCTGCCAGGATTGGGTCATTTTCTTCAAGGTAGTACATTTCCTTCTGGCCCAGAGTGTGTCTAGAAGTGTCATCTAGGAGTTAGGGCCTGGAATGGGAGCCTCAAGACTCTACCTGCTGCCCTATCTGACTGTAGCTGAGCTGGTACCTAAGTTGCAAGACAAAGTCCTCTTTACTGTCCCTTCTCTCCTCAAGCAGAAGGAAGGATTTTGTCCTGGAGCTGCAAACTGCGCTGCCTGGAGCTGCGGGATTGATATGGCAAGCACTTTCTCGGTCACCCGGCTGGTGTTTTACTAGGTCACATGCCCTGCAAGTGTGCCTGGTGCTGAGCCCATCACAGCACCAGGACTTGCCCAGAGATTCCAGTCCTTGTGGCCTAGGCTGCCTTTGATGTGTTTTGAGGACTGCAAAGCACTGTAGCCTGTCATGGTGGGGCTTTCCTGAATTGAGATTCCAAATGCTGGGATGAGTGACTCTCCTCTAGCTAAGGATGTTCTAAATGGTCCCTCCATGGGTTCTAGCTTTGTTATGTCTCATGTTGCTTCCCACTGACTGTTACAGAACAGCACTGAGTTCTAATGCAGTGTCCCACAATCATTGTATTCTCTCTCCCTCAAGTGCACATTCTCTGTATCTCCTGTGTCTGCTGCCATATATGGAGGAATGCGTTATCAATTCAAAACTGAACTTTCTTTTTCTTTTCTATTTTTTCATTTTACTTTAAGTTCTGAGGTACATGTGCAGATCTTGCAGGATTGTTGCATAGGTACACACATGCCATGGTGGTGTGCTGCCTCAATCCCCTTGTCACCTACTTCAGGTATTTCTCCCAGTGTTATCCCTCCCCAACCTCCCTACCTTCTGCTGTCTCTTCTCTAGCCCCCCACCCCCCAACACACCCCAGTGTGTGATGTTCCCCTCCCTGTGTCCATCCATGTGTTTTCATTGTTCAACACCCGCCTATGAGTGAGAACATACGGTGTTTGGTTTTCCGTTCTTGTGTCAGTTTGCTGAGAATAATCATTTCCAGATTTATCCATATCTCTATGAAGGACATGAACTCATCCATTTTTATGGCTGCGTAGTATTCCATGATGTATATGTGCCACATTTTCTTTATCAAGTCTATCATTGATGGGCACTTAGGTTGGTTACAGGTCTTTCCTACTGTAAACAATGCCACAATGAACATATGTGTGCATGTGTCTTTATAATAGAATGATTTATAATCCTTTGGGTATATACCCAGTAATGGGATTGCTGGGTCAAATGGAATTTCTATTTCTAAATCCTTGAGTAATTGCCACACTGTCTTCCACAATGGTTGAACTAATTTACACTCCCATCAACAGTGTAAAAGTATTCCTATTTCTCCACATCCTCTCCAACATCTGTTGCCTCCAAATTTTTTAATGATCACCATTCTCACTGGTGTGAGATGGTATCTCAATGTAGTTTTGATTTGCATTTCTCTAATGACCACTGATGATGAGCATTTTTTCATATGTTTTCTGGCCTCATAAATGTCTTCTTTTGAAAAGTGCCTTTTCATGTCTTTCACCCACTTTTGAATGGGTTTGTTTGTTTGTTTTCTGGTAAATCTGCTTTAGTTTGTTTTTAGATTCTGTGTATTAGCCCTTTGTCAGATGGATAGATTGCAAAAATTTTTTCCCATTCTGTTGGTTACTGGTTCACTCTAATGATTGTTTCTTTTGCTGTGCAGAAACACTTAAGTTTAATTAGATCCCATTTGTCTATTTTGGCTTTTGTTGCCATTGCTTTTGGTGTTTTAGCAATGAAGTCCTTGCCTATGCCTAAGTGCTGAATGGTTTTTCCCAGGTTTTCTTCTAGGGTTTTTATGGTGTTAGGTCTTATGTTTAAATTGTTAATCCATCTGGAGCTGATTTAAGTGTAAGGTGTAAGGAAGGGTTCCAGTTTCTGCTTTCTGCACATGGCTGGCTAGTTTTTCCAACGCCATTTATTAAACAGGGAATCTTTTCCCCATTGCTTGTTTTTGTCAGATTTGTCAAAGATCATATGGTTGTGGATGTGTGTCATTAGTTCTGAGGCCTCTGTTCTGTTCCATTTGTCTATATCTCTGTTTTGGTACCATTACCATGCTGTATTGATTACAGTAGCCTTGTAGTATAGTTTGAAGTCAGGTAACACGATGCCTCCTGGCTTTGTTCTTTTTACTTAGGATTGTCTTGGCTATGCAGGCTCTCTTTTGGTTTCATATGAAGTTTAAAGTGTTTTTTTGTTT